TTGACAAATATCATAATTCAGCTCTCTCTCATGCTGTTCTAGTTGTGACTTCATCCTATTTGACAGCTGTAGAAAAGATGCCTGCTTCCTAAGTAAAACATTGCAAGAAGGATTCTTTTCACCGATCCTGTTTTAGGCAGAGATTTCTTTCTCACTGTGCCTAACAACTCTGGCCCATAAACAAGTTGGTGAGAATATTGTCAATGCTTGCTTAAGTGTTTGCTGGCAAGTGAACTGTGTTTTTGTTTCACCCATGCATTTGGAAGCAGTTAGTTGAACTTTAAGAGTGCTTCTCCGTCTCTTTCAGAGGATAATGTTATTGTACACTGGGTTTCCACATGCCTTCATTTATGCTTTCAGAGTATGTGTGATCTCCGTTTTTCTAGACATTCTACATGTAAATTAATGTCATTTTTGATCAAGGCAAAGGGGTGAACAGGTGTGAGTGTGCCGGAGGTGGTGTGAATGAAAATCAAGCGTGTGCTTCTCATCCAGACCTCTGCCTGCCTTTTTGCAAATGGCTTTCTGTAGACTTTCATTAGTGTAAGTAGGATGAGTCTGACACTGTGCAGATTTGGCTTCTGCAGCTTCTTTGAGGCAGTATGGTAAGGATCAGTGAGGACATGATACACTGTGTTTGGTGGCCTGAACTACATCAGCTCTACTATGGTCAGTAGTGTGTTCTGAGAAAGCAAAGAAAAAAGTATGTTGTGTCCCTCAGCTTCTCTAATAGATGACAAGCACATATTGAATCTGGGCTTGTTCAGCCTAGAGAAGAGGAGGCTCAGGGGTGACCTTATTGCTCTGTATAAGTACATTAAAGGAGGCTGTAGCGAGGTGGGGGTTGGCCTGTTCTCCCATGTGCCTGGTGACAGGACGAGGGGGAATGGGCTAAAGTTACGCCAGGGGAGTTTTAGGTTAGATGTTAGGAAGAATTTCTTTACTGAAAGGGTTGTTAGGCACTGGAACGGGCTGCCCAGGGAGGTGGTGGAGTCACCATCCCTGGAAGTCTTCAAAAGACGTTTAGATGTAGAACTTAGGGATATGGTTTAGTGGGTACTGTTAGTGTTAGGTTAGAGGTTGGACTCGATGATCTTGAGGTCTCTTCCAACCTAGAGATTCTGTGATTCTGTGAAATTGTTTCAGAAAAGTTCTTGTAGGTCTTCTCAGGAAAAGCAGCCTGACAAGGATGAAGAAAAAAGCGGATCGTTTAGATATCACATAACAGTAGAGATGGAAGATGCCTCAGAGAATGTTTAATGTGCTGTAGTGCACTTTTTATCCAATAGCATTTTTCTGTGCCTTGCCTTTAGAGCTTGCCTACAGATAGTCCTTGAAAATGCATATAACATTGTTCGTTGTTCTTTGTTTTAGAAACCTGTTGTCTAATTGCATGTTCTTATTCATTTTTTAAACCTATAAATCCATCTTCATGATTTCACCTTTATATTAGCTGTATATCTAAAGATGCTGAAATCTATGGTAGTACATATTCGCTTTACAAACTAAACTTTGTTCATAAATGATGAATAAAATAGTCACCTGTTGTGCAATATAATGGAAATCCTCCTGACTTGACTTTAAAACTGATAGCCATTTCACTCTGCGTCGTCATGGAAAACTAGAGTTCCTGCAAAGAGGGGTGTTTAGTATTTGACCAAAGTCATCATGCACTGTGCACTACTTATTCCAATAGCATTTGTATTTTGGTAGCTCCACAGGTTCAAAGCTCAGATTTTCACTGGTTCCAAGACATAATCATTCTCATGGATTTCAGCAGAGAGTAAAATTTCTGCAGAAAAAAATGTAGATTAATGTAAAACGTAACAACTCTTTAGTATGCAGTAAATAGATGTGTTTGCTGACACCATCTTTTAATTTGTAGGGAGCAGTTTCCCACGCAAGTGACAAAGACTTTTTTATAGCTTCTTTGGCAAATGTCTTCCTTGTGCCTTCTTTTCCCTTGTCCTGCTTCATTACTCACATGTTTACAAGCATCTTGTATGGACCACTCTTCCTCACCTACCATGTCCTAAATCCTTTGGAAGACTCCTGCATGAATTATGTGTTAGGTATAAATTACACATTTTTATGCAGCAGATACAAATTCGAGACCAATCTTCATTGTGTAGAATGCTCTCTGCTATGGAATTGTATATCTTATGTTAAGCTGATAGGAGTCATTATTCTGATTGTTTTAAATCCTGTAATAAAAATGCCCATAAAGTCTGAATCAATTGGGCAGAACAAGCATGTGATAGCCATAAAAACCAGCCAAATGCATATCTAGATAGTCACCTATAATGCAACATTTAACATGGGCAGTTACAGACTCCTTATTCGTATCTAGGTTTAGGTTCATATCTCATTTTCTATGAGAAAATCAGAGCTGAAAATGGGGGAAATTCTAATTAGTTTTACACATTTTGCAGAAAGATTAACATTTTTTATAACATATAATCATCATATTATATGATATCTATGTAATCTTTGTGATTAGTTAAAAAGTTGTGCATTTGTTCTAATTTCCTGCTTTTTTTAAACCAGTTCTTAAATTATACAGGTAGCCTGTTGCTAATTATATTGCATAGTTGATTCCCTATTTCATTTTCACTGTTTCCTTCCTATGGAGCCACTTCAGCTCCTCTCAGTCTTCCTTTTCCCAAGCAACAAACAACTAGTGGAAAAATGTAATTTTACTCTAAAAAAAATAAATAAAGTTTTAATTTTTAAATGCATGTTAGGTTATTGTATATAAAATACTCCACAATATTTCAATGTCAAAAAGAAATTCTGAAACGTGTTTCAAAACCAAATCCTGATTTCATTTTCATTTAATTTATTTTATATTGTTTGTACAGGATTGTATGAACAATATAAATTGTTAAACATTTCATCTCCTTTGCTAGATCAAAGTGACTACTGTTCATTCTGTATTGAAGCAGATTGGGACTTTGGTCTAGAAAATACAATTAACATTTATGATAACAATTAAAGAAGTAGCTTTTTTCAAAATCCTTGTTTTATCTGGAAACCTATTCCTAGAAAAAACATTTTACAATCATTTTCTGTGATCATATGGCTCAACATGTCAGTACTACTGATAGTTAGGGAACAATTAAAATGGCAAAAAATACTGACCATTTTAGAGGAACAGCTTGACAGATTTTGAGAATGTCCTTTTGCCTGAATTTTCATACAAATGTACACATTTTCTTTATGTGATCTTTGCAAAGAGAATAGAATTTGGAATGTTAAAGTTTTTGGTAAAAGATAATTTTAGTTTCAATCTATGATTTATTTTTTTTAAATGTTGTGTTACAGTTTATAAAATTCTTACCTCCTTGTTTTGTTGTAATAAAGCTAGACTTGCTCCAAATTTTCAATATTGGAGATTCTATCAGGAGAAGAGTCAAGTTTAACCCTGTGGTTTCCAATAGCAATATTTACTGTTATTATGTTGTTATTATGTTCACATCCTGTGTGATATGATGATGAGTACATTAAAAGTGGGTCAAATTAGATTAGGCGGCATCATTAAACCTTGCCTTTTTATTATTAAAAGAGAAATATATCTTTTCTAATATCTCATTAATACTAGGTACCAAAATATAATGGTTTTTTTTTGTACTAGTTATTGTGCATGAATTAAAGAACAAATGGTTGATCCATTTACAGCATATGTCAAAGGAACTGTACCATTTAAAATCGTATATTGTCTTATGGTTTGCTAACAAAACCAAGTATGGTTCAACAGAAGACAAAATTATAAACTAAAGAACCAAAACCAAAACATCTCTTCTTGGTTAAATATTTTGTGTAACACCAGTGCATTAAGCTATGCCTTATTATCTCATGCTTTAATATGTTGACTCTGGAATGGTTCTCTGTGAGAAAACAAACATTTGTCTTTGAAAGCGTATTTTGTTCAACAGTTACCATCAGTGCTGGACTTTCTCATCAAAATTCTTGCTGCTTGGTGATATAATTGATTTATTACAATGAATCTAGTTAGTTGACCACAGAAGTTAATGAAATAAGGGAAATCTAAATCCCTATTCTGATCGTGTCTTCATTTTACATAAGTACTTGGGGAAAAGGATTAAAGTTTAATTATGAATCCCTTTCATGCCTTTTTTCATCTTTTCCTAAAGTGTTTAATAATTGCTTTGACATACATCTGCCAAGCACTTTTCCCCAGCTCTAGAGACCATACTTTCAAAAGAAATTTTAACATGTGTTGCCCCAAAGACATTTTGGAGTCATTAGATGTACAAAATCCTTACTCCAAGTGTAAAAATGTGCATGCAGAATGAATAGTAGCATGTGAAAAAAGTGCTAATGAGAACTTCTAGTACCTTTATCAACCAGCTGAAATGTAGATGAAGAGATCTTTACATTTTAGAGTAATATAGGGGTATAGTAAGTAGCTTGACACAGTGAAATTATGCTGACCTTGTATCTCTGTAGTTTAAGGACACAGAACAATATTTTGTTTATCATTAGCTATAGCTGGAGGCAGCAGAGTCTTCCTTTTCTGTGTTCTGCTCATGCTACAAGAACTCTGGAGACCAGCATTGACTCAGTCTCAGAGGATTTGCATCTGCATGTGTCTGGCATTTAGTTTTTGAAGGCTCCAGGATAGCCAGCTGTTGAGATGTAGAGTTTGGTGCAGATCCATTAGGGAGCATTTTAATTAAGAGTTAGAGTTAGGGGGCATTTTAATACTATTGTAGGTTGAAATGCTCCTGAGAGTTTGGTTCTTCTGTGACTGAATGTTTTTAAGGAAAAGTTGTGCAATTACTACAAAAAGCTTAGATTAATCACAGCTGTACGCCAAGTACTATCTTGCATGTGCTTGACTTGGACTGTGTCACAGACTGCTGTGCTTTTAAAGACATCTTTCAAAGCACTAACGGGATTTTATGAGTATGTGGACGTTTTTATTTACCATATTCACTCGTTCACTTGTTTTTTGTTTGCTTTTCTCCCCACTGCAGACTATGTCAGAGAGTCACAATGATCATGCACAACACCAGTTCAGCCTCGTCCCTGTTTGGAAATGTGAGCTCCTTCTGGAAGAGAGATTCCCATGGACCAGGACTACTTGATGAAGCAGCATCGCTCATTGGCAGCTATGATTTCCCTCAGACCACAGAGAGTTTTCCCTTCTCCACTGTGGAATCAGTAAATACATCCCTAAATGCCACGAGTAAAGACCCTCTGGGTGGACATACAGTCTGGCAAGTAGTTTTGATTGCTTTCCTCACTGGGATCCTTGCACTGGTGACCATCATAGGAAACATCCTAGTGATAGTTGCATTTAAGGTTAACAAACAACTGAAAACAGTCAACAACTACTTCTTGTTGAGTCTTGCTTGTGCGGATTTGATCATTGGTATTATTTCCATGAATCTTTTCACCACATACATCATCATGGGCCACTGGGCTTTGGGAAACTTAGCCTGCGATCTTTGGCTCTCCATTGACTATGTCGCCAGTAATGCCTCTGTCATGAATCTCCTTGTCATAAGTTTTGACAGGTATTTTTCCATCACTAGGCCACTTACGTACAGAGCCAAACGAACAACTAAAAGGGCTGGAGTGATGATTGGTTTAGCATGGGTCATATCTTTTGTTCTTTGGGCCCCTGCCATATTGTTCTGGCAGTATTTTGTTGGGAAGAGGACTGTGCCTGCTGATGAATGTTTTATCCAGTTTCTAAGTGAACCTATCATCACTTTTGGCACTGCCATAGCTGCCTTTTACTTGCCAGTCACCATTATGAGTATTTTGTATTGGCGGATCTACAAGGAGACTGAGAAACGCACCAAAGAGTTAGCAGGGCTACAGGCTTCAGGCAGCGAAGCAGAGGCAGCACGCTTTGTGCACCAGACAGGCAGTTCCCGGAGCTGCAGCAGCTATGAGCTGCAACGGCAGAGCATGAAACGCTCAACCCGAAGGAAATACAGACGCTGCCACTTCTGGCTCACAATGAAGAGCTGGGAACCCAACACGGACCAGGGGGACCAAGAGCACAGCAGCAGTGACAGCTGGAACAACAATGATGCTGCTGCCTCCCTTGAAAATTCAGCCTCCTCTGATGAAGAAGACATTGCTGCAGAGACCAGAGCCATCTATTCGATTGTGCTGAAGCTTCCTGGTCACAGTGCCATCCTTAATTCCACAAAACTGCCATCCTCAGAAGATTTGAATGAGTCAGGGGATGAACTGCAGAAATCCGACACAGAGTCACAGGAAAAGAAATCTAAAAAATTGCACCCTTCCAAAAGCATTCAGGATGGTGGTAGTTTCCAGAAGAGCTTTTCAAAGCTTCCAATTCAGCCAGGGTCAGCAGAGACAGCTACAGCTTCTGATGGAATCTCATCGGTGACCAAGACATCTGCAGCCCTGCCCTTGTCCTTCAAGGAGGCAACCCTGGCAAAAAAGTTTGCCTTGAAAACCAGAAGTCAGATCACAAAACGAAAACGAATGTCACTTATCAAAGAAAAGAAAGCGGCACAGACACTCAGTGCCATTTTGTTTGCCTTCATCATTACCTGGACCCCATATAACATCATGGTTCTGGTGAACACCTTTTGCAACTGTATCCCCAAAACTGTCTGGAACCTGGGGTACTGGCTTTGCTACATCAATAGCACGGTGAACCCTGTTTGCTATGCACTGTGTAACAAAACATTCAGAAACACTTTCAAGATGTTACTGCTGTGCCAGTGTGACAAACGAAAACGACGCAAACAGCAGTATCAGCAAAGGCAGTCTGTCATTTTTCATAAGCGGATCCCTAGGGAAGCTTCATAGAATAGTATTTTTTAAACACCTTAAAAATAATGGAGGATGGGACTGGATGGGATGAGATGGAATGGGAAGGGACAGGACAAGATGGGATGGGTTGGGATGGGTCGGGATGGGATGGGACAGGATGGGAGGGTACGGGATTGGGATGGGGTGGGAGGGTGGTTCCAGGGTGCTGATTCAAACATTTAAACATCAAGACATGAAAGCAGCTGCCAGGCTTCTGTATCCTTTTAATAAATCCACTTTAATATAAAAATCAAGTCTGCATTCAGCAAAAACTAACAAACTTCAGCGTTTTTACTAAGGAACGAAAGACTTAATAAAGTTTTCCTACAAATTTGCAAGAAGCTGTATAGCAATTATAAACCCATTACTGATCTGCCCAGCTCTTTGATTATAATCAACTCTGGGATCTCAGGTAAGCACATCTAGCTAGCCCAACTCTTCTGTTTCCAAGGAATCCAACAACTGTCAATTCCAGTCACACACAGATGTAGCAAGCTAGCAAAACAGGATTATGAAATCATTTGAGACACTGTATAGGTTGCAAAACTGCTTCTTGTTGTCCAGGTAGAGCTTCCTGTCTACTTCTCTTTTGGTGTATTGTTAATTGTACCCCTGATTGCCAAGTATCTACATGTGCAGCTCATGTTATATATATGTGTGTGTGAGTGTGCATGTATGCAAAACATACATTCACACCTCTACAATACGCACATACCAGGAAAGAGGTGATCTATTGGTCTAGGTTTTACAGGGCCCCACATCACTGTTGCACGTAATCGAAATTTTAAAAAAACAATATCAGAAAGTCTTATAAATATTTATCTCATTGTTCACCACCTGAAATTCAGGTTTGGTTTGCAACTAAAACACTGTCCACATTTCAAATCGAGAGAACCAAAGCGTAGCCTGTGAGTCTGACAGTCTACTGAGTTATGTATCAGAGCATATGCCCAGTACAACCTTTGTCTTCAGCACAGTATCTCTCCCCAGAGTGATCATGCTTCTTTAAAGGATATGAAGGTGAAAGGAGTTGAAGATTGCCTTGAGGGCTCTGCCCTCAACGTAGTGTGTGGGATGGCAAGAGCCCCTGGGCCACCGATCGTCAAAGGTTCAGGAGCCAGAAGGATGTGGCCATGAGCAGCAGCTCCATTTCTTGCTCATCCCCAGATGATCTTCAGACGCAAAAGATGTGTGTAAAATAAATCCTTTATTTTTGTACATGAAGGACACTCACTATAAAGTGTTTCTTTTCCAGAATCTGTGTGAAAAATCATCAGTAGAAGTGTACCTAAATCTGTTAATTGCCAGGTTATTTGGTGTTTCAGAAAATGTGAGTGTTGCCAATTTGTAACCTGGTAATTTTTAATAGAGAAAATTTAAAAAGGGCTTTCATATTTATAGCTTAGACATGACCAGTATTTCCTGGTATTTGTGATGTGGTCTGCACCAAACATAGTGTGATTTATAAAAGTCAGAGATCCCCCAGGGAAAGGATTGTACTTTAAACTATTGTTCTAAATCTGATTTAGTTACATGTTGAAAGATAATTTTGTATTCTTCTTTGAACTGACCAAAACTTTTTTTATTGCTTAAACTCTTGTTTTGCTGAAAATAAAACAAAACAAATTTCTTCTTTTACAAAGGGGCATCAGTGTTGTGAACACAGAACTGATGTAAAAGCTGCTTTTGTATTCAGTGTGAGATGGTGTTTACAGATGATTTTGACAACAGTGGAAATATATTAAATGGTGTCTGTGTATCTGAACTATTTAATTTTGTGTTATGTTCATATGGAGAAATATTTATACATACTTCACCAAATGTTTTATTTAATGTTGATAAATATTGCTCTTCAGTCTTCAGCTGTAGTGTCCTTTTAAAGTGATTCATAAAGGTCTGCTTGAGAAATGAATAGAGTATACCTAGCTTTCTTGTCACTAAAACAAATGCTCTTGACATACAAATCTTTCTTTTGTATGAGTTGTTTAAAGTGTCTACCTAAAAGTAAGCTTGTAAATGATATTGTAAGTCTACTTCAAGTACAAGTTCAATATACAGTAAGAAAAAAAAAAAAAAAAAAAAAAAAGTTAAAGCTTCATCTATATGTCATGAGTGCATTTTGAGCTAAAGATGCCCAGATTTGGTTTACCAGTTTGGTAGACACACAGCCAAAGACTTGCAAGGCACCCACATTGCAAAGAAAATGAAAGACCTTTTTTTATAGAAAGAAGTATATATTTGAAATATATTCATTACTCAAGTTGACCTAACTAATCTTTTAACATTTAAATATATACCTATATCTATATATATTGCCATATTATTATCTTCTGATATTTAGAGTAGTGCTGTGCCCCTAATACACAAAATGTGAGAGCATGTAAGGAAGCCAGAGTTCATCAGGGGGATTTATGGTATATTAGTATTGATTTTACAATGGGAAACTATTAATTTTTAACGAAGCAAAGCTTCTTTGAAAGCGTCTGTCACCACTGTTTACATAATAGGAAGAGTTAAACCCTTGGACTGTTATAAGAGAGAAATAAACAACCTGTCTTTTGATGTGTGAACAGGCTTTAAAATGTTATTGCAGGCATCATAAATTGTGTATGTATACACGTTGTAGCACAGATCAATTTTGTTATTATTTATTTAATGGAATATGCACTATAAAATATTAAGAATTTGGCTGTTGCAAGTACAGTGGGGATCAAATTAATTTGTATCCTATATGTCTACGTGTTTGCATTAAACCCATGCACACACACAAATTGTAAGTATAGGCACAAGAGGATGTATTATTTATGAACATAGGCACACGCACATGGTAGGTTTCAGAAGAAGAACAATGCAAGACCCAAAGATACAATCTGACACGGGATTACTTTTAAAAGGTAGAAATTATGTAAAATTGCATCTGTTTACAGGAAAATTAATCAGAAACATGATAGAAAGCATCAATCTGAGGGCAAACAGCTCAGTCCCATAACCATTCCTCACATGAAAAGCTGGCTTTCAGAGACCAGGCATCATCCCCATTAGCTGCAATAATAAATGATTAGATTCCATATGAAGAGGATCAAAGAATCAGAGGAGATAGCAAGACAGGCACCACTGGATTGTCTGCAGCAAGCTTTGTAGAATAGACCCCAATCACTGTCAAGCACCAAATAGCTCTAAGACAACAAAATCCATTGTTATACAAATGCAAAATTGTATGACAGCTTCCGTACCAGTAGAGGCTGTGAGATCTCTGTCTGATCCAGAGATCCAAGGACAGGTGTCATGGTGCACTAAGTGCTTTATCCTACCACAGCACAACATGCTTCCTAGAATTTAATCTGCAGAGGCCACTGTTCTAAAGTTAAACAAGTACAGAAAGGCCTGAGCAGTTCCCCAGGTTTGAACACTTGGATCTATATAGACTGAACAATAAGTGACCTGCAGAAATGTATAGTTTTGTGAGGATACCCATGCCAATGTTGTGAGGCAGCTGATGACCTTCCTCAATTATGTACAATTTCATTTTCTTATTTGGTTGTCTTGAGTTTTATATTTCCTTACTTCTTCTGTAAGAATATCCTGAAACATCTTGGCTCAGTCTCAACTTTGTGTATATAAGAAGTGAATGGAACTCTTCCAGTACGCTCAGTTTGCCTGTATGGAATAGAAACATCAAAAGAAAAATGATTTTTTTGTCTTTTTTTTTTTCCGATCATCAGCATCAGTAATTTTGAATCTATGGACATCATTATGCTACTACATATAGAGTAGGGATAGTCATGGAGCATCATGCTAAGCCACTTATAAACTGCATTTCATTTGCCCCCTTGATTATCTCATTACCTAGGCACCCCCATTCAAATGTATGGTTGAGATTCCTAAATCTCATTCTCCCCAAAATGTTTTCTGGATACTTTTCATAAAATGTTTTTCAAGCCTGTCTTGGTATCAGACTTCATTCCTTTCAAAAAATCTCCATGCCAAATTAAACTGCTCCAAGGGCATATTACTAGTGTTGAGGTCTAGTACTTTCTTTTCTGAGACTTACCAAGAGGAATTGGAGCAGGATCCTTTATATATAAACATATATATATATATATATATATATATATATATATATATATTCATTTTGTCTCTTAGGTGTTTACCCATACTTTCTTCTGGGAGCAGGTCGAAATGGTATATATTTGTAGATTGCTTTCTGTTAACCCAAAGGTTATGTACAAATGTCTGCTGGAGTTGCAGTGTTTGATGATGGCTGTCTTCTCTGTCCCTGAAGTGGACTCCCAGGATACCCAAGTACTTCTATTGGGAAGCTTAGATAGATCATATATGACATTCAGGTTTTCAGAGAATTAAAAGTTTTATTTAACTAGGATTCTCTTCCTTGTACCAGGCATAGATCATTTGTTGATTTTGCACTTCGCTATTTCTGTAGACAAATGGTGGGAAAATACTAACTTGTAAAGTGCGTTATTTGGGCATTTTTGTATTCCAGCTTTAAGGATGAGCACACATAGGGTAGCTAATTTGATTGTGTTGTTTGTTGGAAAGAAGTTGATATGAATAGGAGTGTTTGGAGCTGTTATTTTCCACACTGTTTATTCCATTTCATACCCCATGGCACCACAATTGACTGAGCTTGATCATCACAGTATTTGATGTCACTGATAGGTCTTCACAGTCCTAACTGGCAAACTTATTTACTGTGCCACTGTGGTATTCAGGACTTTGTTTACTTTTCACCACTCCCATGGCATCTTAAATACATATATTATAACACAGATTGTCTTTTTTTTTTTATCTTCAAGAAAGATTGTTGTGGTTATTTACATATACACACTTAGATGTGCTTGAAGACTTTTTGATTCATTTTAAATACTTAAATGACCAGAGAAAATGTAGTTAACCTTGACAGAGATCATTTTCATGGTTTATTCCAATGTGTATCAAGTGGCATGCATTTTGTACTTATCCATCTCTATGCACTTTGCATATCTCAGAAGGATAACATATGTATGACACAGTACTATATATGTGCATACAGAGAGAGGCACACATATCTACAGTGATGTTTATGGAAGTATATATACAGTTATGCTGACATTGTCAGCCATAGTGAACATTGTCTTTGATGCCTGATCAGTTGTAACTGGACAGTTTAGGTCTGCTCTGCTTAGCTACAAGAAAAGTTTTCACATCTTTCCTTAGTGCTTATTTTTCAAAATGCCTTGTCCTTATTTATGAACATGCTGTTCTTAGTGTATTGTGCTGGCTCTTTGGACACTACCCAAAATTTAGAAATGCATGACACACGCTGAGCTTTTGCACCGATACTGTACTAGGTTCAACTCCATTAGCTTAACCAAAACCACTCTGGCTTCACCAAATGTGAAGATGGCTTTGGGTTCTAAGGATGGATTCTGTCTAAGTTTACCAAAGAGAAATAGGGGTCCCAAACTCCTGAAATCATGCAAACATCACAGTCAGTTTCTCAGTTTGGTTACATGAATGCAGGCACTATTAAAACAGTTTGAGGTGGAAAAGTATCATCCTTCCCCACTCCATGCTATTGCTCTGCCCTTTCTGTTATATGGAATAGTACTTTTCATTTGCCAGTCCCACAGGTGGAACTGTGCAATTTAAAAACCAAACCAAACCAAAACATACATATATATATACATATATATTTATATATATATATATGCTTGTTTGTGTGGTAGAACTGAGAAAAACACAGTGTAGGTATATCTAGGTCATTTGTCCTTTTCTGTTTTTGTAAATAATAAATCCTTGACTGAGTTTAACTGGCATGTATGATGCTGACCTCAGGGAAGGTCTTATGAAAATGGTGATAAAATAGCTGATCTCTGGTGAGAAGATCTAACTTGTTTCCAAGCTAGTGAAGCTATACTATGTATTTAACTTGGCAGTAAGCTTGGAAAAAGAACAAGGCATTTAAAGTTTTTATAGATGTGCACATCCTCTCTGCACAGGGGTGAATAAACACATGCAAACACTTCCCAGAAAAGTTCAGTGTGTGAATGACTCTGGGAGCCAAGAGTACTCATTACCAACAGCCACACTTCTGGCATGGCAGCCTCATACCCCACTCAAACATCTATGAAACCTTATTATAGGGCTAAATAATTGGGCATTCATAGGGCAGTGTGGTTTATTTGTCTGTGTGTTTGTGCATGCACATATATGCATTTTCCACGAATTTTACAGGAAATTCTTACTCTCTCAAGTCCAAAAATTTAGTGCTGTATCTGGAATGAAACAATGCCTGAAGTGCTCCAATGATTAATACTTGGTCATAGCTAATAATTAGATAAGCACATGACAGTGTACAGAGAGAACTTTTAAATTTTCTTTTTCAAATCTTCATAGTAGCATAGTTAATTTCCTTAAAATACCCAAAAGAACTGAAAAGTTTTACACTGTCATGGAAATAAAGTCTCTGGATAAGAAACTGATTTCTTGAATTTTCTTCAAATTGTCCAGTCCTCTTGAGAATATTTTTCTTCTGGGTTGAAATCTCTGGGTTAACAAAGCAACCATAGTCACTCCTCAAATGTGATCTAGCCTAGAGGTGTCAAAGTGATGAGGAGATGGCCTTCATTATTTTGTGGTTAACAAGGCTACTTTAAGAATAGTTATCGTTGTGGCACAGACCAGCACCACAGCATGATTTAAGATAAAAGTCAATTTACTATGAACCCTGTATTGTGTGAATATATCACAAGAAATAGACCTATTTGGTATTTCCTGATGCTCCGTAATTTTTCTCCAATCATTATTTTCACTTTTCATAGTGATTCAATCCCCTCCAGCTGTACATACCTATTCAACACTCTCTTCCATCAATGTAGAAGTATGCCATTTTTAGCACCTACAAAATCATATTTATTTCCCTTCCCTTCCCTTCCCTTCCCTTCCCTTCCCTTCCCTTCCCTTCCCTTCCCTTCCCTTCCCTTCCCTTCCCTTCCCTTCCCTTCCCTTCCCTTCCCTTCCCTTCCCTTCCCTTCCCTTCCCTTCCCTTCCCTTCCCTTCCCTTCCCTTCCCTTCCCTTCCCTTCCCTTCTGCTTGAAGGGAAATATTGAGTAGGATTACATATTCACTGCTGCTCTCAGAAGCAAGATGCTTAGGGAAAGATCATTGACATCAGTACACTCAATGCGTGAAAGTGCCTATTCAGAAGTTAAAGGTTAAAAAAGCATGAATTCTATTGCTCATTGCTTTCTGAAAGAATTAAGAAAACACTAAATACAATGTGATGTTTTGCAGTTGTAGGCTGTAGAATTTGTAAGTGTTCAATGAAGAAGATACAGTTTTTTTCACATAAATTGTCCCTGAGTTTCCAGAGGTGTCCTCTTACCCAGTTTGCTCCTGCCCCAGTCATGCCTGTGTCACTTTAGTTCCCAGGATTTGTGCCCTTCTTCCCTTCCAAAGACCAAAAAAAGTCACCGGGCTTTTGTCTAGTATGAAGCTGGAAATGAGCTCCTGGTACTTGCACCCTACTGGGGGAAGGGTGTGGGCCACGGAAGTCAAGACAAGTTGTTACAAAAATGAGTCGTAAGCTTCCTGCTTCAACTTGGAGATACGGAGTATTTTTATGATAGAAGTAGAGATAACATTACAGGAATCTGATGAACATACTCTGTGTTTCCTGATGTGCCTTTCTGTTCTTATTAATTGAAAGGTTTCTGTGCTGTTCTTCTGATTTAGGATCAAAACTAGTTCTAGAGACATTATCTGAATATATATATATTTAAAGCTTTAATATTTAAAATAAATTTATATTGTTCTCATTCTTTCTGAATTTGAAATATGGGGCAAATTACACTCAGTAAATGAGCACCTCAGAAGCCTCTTTAATAAAAAGGGATTTGTAATTTTACCCCTTATCAGACCCTGCTTTTGTTCAGCCAAAAGTAGTAGAGATGAACTTACTGGAAACAGATGAAACAACCAGAAAGCAGTAAAAGTGAGAGCCTCACCTTCTGCTACAAAAACTGGCAGTGCTTGCACTCAAAGTCTGGTATCTACTGAGCTAGTAGTAGCCATCCATTCAGATAGATACTATCCAAACACAAATATTTATTAATATTAAAAATATTAAATTAATTGGCCAGGTTGTTCTGGTTCTGCAAACAGGTTCTGTACTGCATGGCAATTCACCTGCTGACTTTTAAGTAAAGTTCTGTGTCTAGGGAAACTGTTAGCAAGAATAATTGGTCCTAAGTCATACTGATGGCATTTTGCAAAACACTAGTACATTAATGGGGAAAGTAGAGGTGGATAATGATGGAGAGCTATTGTTTGCAATTGTTTTCCTCGGTAGCAACATTTTGGAGTATCCTTTCCTCTTTCAATTAAATAAAGACAAAGTTAAAAGAAAATGCCCAGAGACTGACTTAAATACTGTTGTAGGCATTCTCCCTTCTGGAATCACTGCCAGCACTGCAGTCTGTAGGACAGAGGGTGGGTGGCTGTGTGGTGGTAGACAAATGAATGCATCAGCCCCAGTTGAGCATCTAATGAACTTTCACATTTCTCCTTTAACCACACGGGTATTAGCCCAAAGTGTGCTGTACAAACTTGGCGCCCACTGAATTCCCACTGTGGAACATTGTGTTCTTAAGGGATTTTTTCATTATTTATTTATTTATTTATTATTTTTTATCCCTTCATATAAAGCTAATCAGGTGGCACCTTCCCATGTGGAACTTTCCTTACAAATGTATTATTATTGTAATCTACAAATGCCTTTTACCCTGTATGCTCCTGATAACAGTTGCATTAGTATAAGCTGATAAAGTCATTTCTTTAGTTGCCGCTCATGGAGAGGCTTGCTAGTTAAGATAAAAAGTAAATGATGTGATATAAGAGTCATATCTGATTGTACAGTCCATTGTCTGCCAAGCAGTTGGTGATGTAAGGTTTACATAACCACTAGATGTTGGTTGAACTTTTGAAATATATTTCCGTGTTCTTTTTTTCCTCACTGAATCCAATAGAGAGGCAGAATACCGAACAAGCAATCAAGAAAAATGTAACCTTAAAGTAATTTGAGATTACTACAAGAACAGTAAATGATCTAGAAACAGTGCTTTGGAAGTCTTCATCAAGTACATCCTTTCCTTTGGTGAAACTGTTACTCCCTTCAGTCTGGGAGGCCTCTGTGCAGACGTAGGTTTGTAGTAGGGAATGTGGACTCCATCCATGCATGCTGGTGTTTTCTGGCAGCTATCAGTTTTCTTGATGTCACAGGTGGCTGCTTGCTGAAACTGCTCCATGCTCTGGTAGCAGCCGTGGCCACCGGCCTTCGCTGGGGTCTGACCCAAGCCCAGTGCCAGCTCACAGCCAGGCCCCTACTGTGCTCCCAAGGCCCTTTCTGCCCCGTGTCACACTTTGCAGCCACCTACACACACTCCAGGCCTCTTCCCAGTCCTCCTGTGCCCTGCTCTGAGCCAGACAGCAGCCTGCAGCCAAATTCCCTGGGAGGACATGAGCAAGACCCAGCAAGGCCTCAGCAGCCCCGGGCCTGCCACCGGCCCCTTTCCTCCCACCTGCTGCTGGGCTGCGCGCTCCCACAGCACAGACCATGGCTGCTGAAACCATTTCCAGCTCCATTGTGAGCCGCATCACCCGTTACTGCCAGCATTAGAGAAAAGTGGAAATGAGGAATTGCTTATCTCTGGCCCATTTTTTATTCTTTTTTTTTCCTTTCAGATGATGTATGTATAATGCCTATTTGTTTGGGGGAAAGACCGCAGGCTACAGATGCAGCATTTTGGTAGATATTTTAACATATTCAGAGAAGGGAAAATTCAGTCACGCAAATAGATATCTTGGATTTTTTTCCTCATTTACTGAATTCATCACAGAAAATTTAACTCACCTCCGGCTACACAAGTGTCTTCCTGCACTTTAGATAGTTGAGCAATTTTCCCACGTGCCAGTTTGTTCAGATTTCTTTCTTCATCTGTATCCTCACTAACGGTTTCTTGAGTTAGTGAGCTTTTGCCTTTTTGATGGTGCATGGGTCTGTTTGCACCAGCTTTGTGTTAACTTCAGAATCCTAGCTATCAGGAGCAATCTAGCTGTGGTATGAAGCTCCTCTACCTTATTTTATGGCTCTCAGCATTCTGAATTATCACACACTCACAGACAAGGGGATTTGTCCAGTGTTTTTAATCTACATAAAATTTACTGAAATAATCAAGTACATATAATTGAGCTGTTCAAAATACCAATCCAAAATCCACCCTATTATTTTAAAGTACCATATCAAAATACTTTTATATGTGTCATGGAAGCAAATATCTCAGTGCGTATCCAAGACTAGCTATGTAGCCTGTAATGAGATATAATACAAAACAGATATCCTTCAAATATTTCATTAAATAATGTGACCTAATTCATCCTGGCTGAACAGACTTAGTTTAGCTCAATCCTGCTGTTAATCTTTCTTCAAAATTCTCATTAGCATCAATGGAAATTTTAGCAAGAGGAGATAAATCAGTCTTTTTTTATAGGGCAGATAAATAATGCTTTGGTTTTGTATTTCTTGATAATAAATGTAATCAAATTACATAAAATATAAACACTCAAAGCCTGTTCTGTGCCCTCAGGGAACCCCTTTCACTATCCCAGTGCAGTAAAGCTGCATATAGCAGGAGATATTCCACTAAGACAGTTAAAAATAAATGGGTGTATAAGACTAAACAGCTTAAAAAATCATACTGTAAATGATGTGATTGAGTGAAATTGTATGTATATTTTTCAAGTCTTCAGAATAGTTGAAGTTTTAACTTATTTCAAATTTTTAAGTTGAAATCTATTCATATTTGGAAATTTTGTACAACCTTGTAAAGTTAAATACTATGTCACTGTAATTTATTTTTGTTGTCATATATTGACATATGCTCATTTATATATGAAGTGTACTGTTTATCAATTGCTTCTAAGGCAGCAATAAAAACATGAAAGTTGTTCTCATTCTCTTGTCACTGCTGTCATTTATCTCAAGTATATTTTTTAACTTTACATCAATACATTCAATTTATTCATCAGAAAAAAAAAAAAAGGAAATAGTGTATTGTTTTTAACTGTCTTCCCATGCCCAGTAAACACACAGGCAAATCTTGCCTGTGCAGCTGAAAGTGTTGAGGGGATACACTGTAAAGAAGCCCCTGAGAAGAGATTGCCACTTCAGTGCATCACCCCAAGAGGGCCTCAGGATGTGAATGGGAACAAATAGTCCCAGATGTGTCTCTTTTCCTACCAAATCTGCTTTTACTTTTCAATTGAAAAGTTTCCACATCATTCCACAGGGTTTTTTTAGGCTCTGTAAAGCTCTGGACATTCAGACCTCTTATGAAAATGAGCTTGGGTAGAAGAAACAGAGGGCCATACAAAATCAGTCCCAGCATTGAGACTTGGTTCAGTACCATAGCTCTTCTCCAATTTCACTTCATCTCGGAGGAGACGTGCTCTTCCTTCCTCCCTCACACATGGTGTGATGCTCTGGTCAGCTCCCAGCCAGGTGGGGCAGTTGCACCACCCAGCTCTCCAGGAGCCTGGCTGGGTAGCAGAGGGCACGCGTACTTCCCGTATATCATGGAGCTCTTGTTGCTAAGACAGTTGTTTGCTTTCTATAGCTGCTACACAGGTAGACTCTTTTCTTGCTGGGTGTCATTTAGTCTCTGCTTGTGACATGGGCCTTTCTTTTTGATCACTACCCAATAGTAGTCATACCTGTCACCTTCCAGGAAGGGATGCAAGCTGGGAATTGCAGAACAACTCCCATTGCTGCAGCACAGCTGGATGTGCACAGGTCCCCACTCCCCCAGCCCTGCTCAGCTGACGTTCAGGTGCTCTGTGGTGATCTGCTTGTGCACAGGCCCCAGGCTGAGGAGGATGATGATAGGCATAAGCAGTTAATTACTGCTAGTCACCTGAAAGCACTCCCCATCTTGATTTAGGAATGTTGATTTTGGTGTTCCTAATGAACAAATGAACCTAGCCCATATTTCACTGGAAGACGGCTCAAAGAAAAGCTGATGTAGCTAATAGAAGTATCAGCTGAGAGGCAGAAGCTGCTGCTATCTTTGGGAAGTCTGAAACCCTGTTACAGTGGTTTGCATGGCCGAGATGGACTAGGAAGTTTGCTTGGCCTGGGTATGTAGTGTCACCCGAGCCAAGGTCTGGTCACTGGGATCCCAGCAATAGAAGCCCTGTATCTTGGAAACTCTTAAGAATTATTAGTGTGGCATTCAAACATTATTTTCTTCAGGTATGATGATGGTACTAATAGCTATAGACTACAATCCTGGAACAGGGTTTTAAAGATGCTTTGAAGTAACTTTTGGACTGGAACTAAAGCAAATTCCTGGGGCAGACACCTCTGAATAGTATAATTTAGTTCCAACCCAGAAGGCCAAATGTGACTTATCAATCATTAATCATTCCTAATTCTCTGAACACCCTTAACCTTCCCTTTTAATGCAAAATCCTCTGTGCTGTGCTCCTTATAAATATAATTCAACCTGTTTTATTAAATAAAACAATATGTCATCACTATAACTTGTAAACAGAATAAAGTTTATCACTTTGACAGTGAAGTACATCTGCATGATACAAGAACAAGATGTAAAAGCACAAATCCTTTTCTTCAGCTAGCAAGCGGTTTCCTGATGATGCTTTCAAAACTGGGAACTTGATTCTGCTTTATTGTGTAAGTATTGCTATATGCTGCGTTTTTCAGCATTTCTGTCAGCCAACTGATACAGCCCTTCATAGCTCTTTGGGTGTGCTACATAGTCACCTACGATGCCATGAAATAGTAAGGCAGTGGGAAAGCAAGGGAAATTGCTCGCTTATTGAAAATGTTTCTTAGCAATCTTTATTTGTGTCAAAGAGATTAAGAATGCTCCTAACGCTGCTCAAACAAAACTCAGTCTATTCCTCCCTCAAAGTTTTCATCCACTTCATTGCAGTTACTTTAGCGGGGGTTTGCACTGTTGCTTAACTAAGCAGACCTGTGGCTCTGGAATATGATAGATGATTATCTTTTTGTAGCTATAAAGTATAGTTATTTGACAGATTTTTTTTTAATGGCTTAAATTACAGTATGCTTATCTCAGAGAATGGAAAAAACTTCTTTTCTCCAAAATGTCCATCAGGGGTACTGAGCAAGGGCAGTATTGAAGTCTCTAATTAATATGGCACAATCAAAAGCTCATCTTTACTTTCAGGTGCTTCTAGCAGTTTTAAGGCTTTATCATCCAAATTGTTGCCAGTGTGAAAGAAAATTACCTTAAAGTATTGTCTGGCTATTCACATACAAAACAAACCAGAAGCAATCTTGTAGATAATGAATGGTGCTTATCTTCAGGTTACTTTAAGAATGGGTATGAGAACAGTTGCAAAAGTTCCTTGGATGTATTAATTATGTTATCAACTTAGAGAAGATGGCAGATCTTAGAAAAGAAATGGAGAGATGCTTGTCTTTCCTCTCCCGTCTTTAACAACGAAGTACTAGACACTGTAGAAACGCTTTTTTTTTTTTTTTTTTTTTTTTTTTTTTCAGTACAAGTAGATGCTAGTCTGCAAAGCTTATGAAGGTCTTTGCCAAATACATTTTTCTCTTGACATTTGTGGTGGCTCAGGGCAGGGCAGAAGCCCCTGGACATAAATCCAGCCTGCACGGGCCAAAACTTTGCCCTGGCTTTGACCAGGGCAGTGTTCCCTGGGAAAACTGAGCAGTGGAAAGAGGAGAGAAAACAAGATGTGGATATTACTGTTAATGAGAGAGATCTGCTGACCACAGACAAAATGGAGAAGGATGGTGTGAACCAATTATGCTTTCATGAGTAATTAAGGTTTTATTATGGATATTCATGATTACTGTATGCAATACATAAATGTGGCTGAGCACACTGCCTCTCTTTTGTTTTGTTTTTGTTTTGTTTTGAAGCTATGCACTTCTTGCCAATATCTTCCCCTCTGAGGATAAGCATCAGCACTTTGTTGGGAAGGGTAGAGCAGAGAAAGGACCATGAATGGAAGAAAACAACCTTCATCTTGTTATCAGTTCTTGGAATTCTCTCAATTTCCACTCTGGATGGCTTGACTTCTGTCAACATAGGGTGGTATAAAAATGCCCCAGAAAGGTTATTGTTAACCTTGTTGTGAGTGCCTTTTCCATAGTAAGCCAACTGTTTTCCCCCACAGAGAACAGGCCTTCCTTCTTAGGCCAACTTCCTAGCTGCCACTGAGCACTGTCTGGAAAACCGGCCAGGCTCAGCAGGCAAATATAATGGTTAATGGCTGTTACTGTCAGGAGAATTGGTCAGAGTTATCTGGCTGCCAGATCTAATCTTCCTGTGATCACTGTCTCAAAGAATTCCTTCTTATTGCAGCTGTTGAAGGCCTGGCTTCTGGCTGTTATCGCATTACCTAGTAGCCCAATACGTGACTCTGCTGGCCATAGAATGTCTAAACCAAATGATTAGACAAATTCTGGGGAAGTCGTATGAGGTTCATCACTGGTAAATAACTTGTTGCTTGTGGTTTAAGTTTGGGGGGAGAGGGTATAATGCCAAAATCAAGAACTATCCAAAGAGAGGAGGTAGGTAATAAACAATGTAAGATTATGTTCAGGATTGCAGGAAGGATTTTAGAGCTTTAACAGGTGTTGGAGAGAGTGCCAGTAGCCATGGGTGACAGAAGCATTGGTTCCTTCTGTTAACAATGAGTAAAGCTTAAAGATCACTGGATCAAACAGCTTAGCTGGTTACAGAAGATGCTGTCTGGGTCTGTGATATAGTCATTACGTGCAAGTCAGCTGCAACTAAGATCCCCAAGGATGTTTTAAGCACTGAGTATGTGATGTGATATTCGGTGATGCAATATGCATCTGCTGATAAAAGGGGAAGTTGTTTTATATTTTAGGTGAGCTTCATCAGCCTCTTGCAGAATGACTCATCTAATGCTGACATCTAATAGAGGCCAGACAATTCCCTCATGAAAGAGGCTATTTGTCTCAATTGACTAAAGAGGCAGCTCTACAACTAGCTCAGATTAATATCTTTACTGCAGATATTTCAAGTTAAAAGTCAGGATTCAACTCACCATCTGCTGTTGGGGGGAGGAATTCACCACATGCATAAAATGAGAACATGTTGCTATCAGTTTGTATTCTTTGATTGCAGTTGCCAATAGAGCATGGACACAGTAAGCCAGGCACACTGCAGATCAGTGGTGACTCGCGCTCTGTTCCAGGCAAGCTCTAGTTTGAAAGCTAGGTGGCTTCATTAATGTCTCAGTGTGCTCAAGCAAATCCGTAAGCCTTGTTGATGACATAGCTACTTTCAGTTTAGACCTTGCTAATATCTATCCAGCTCACTGAGTTAAGGTGAGTGTAGGTTGTGCAGCAGACATGCATCCTACATGCTCTGTTTACCCAGCAAAGGATGGGGCAGTGGTGGTTCTGAGCATGGTAACCTGCTAGGGAGTGGACTACTAAAAGACTAGAGGTGAACAGGCATGATGCTGTTACACAAGTGAATGAGAAATGTCAGTTCATTCATGAAATTCCTCGGTAAGAACTACTTAATGCACTCCATAAATGCCTTGGTCTATACTTGGAACTTCCTTTGCTTCCAGGTGCTCTCAATCCTAATTTACCTGTAGATACTTATAATAGTGCTCTTAGTATAATCTGGTTTATTTTATTCCACAAAATTACTGGATATGTGTAGTTCTGAACACCTATGACTAATTAATTTTATTTTATTTTATTTTTTAAAAAAAGGACAAAAAAAACTTATGTTCAAGTTTAAATCACCAGGTTTTGTCATTTCATGAATATGCACGTAGAACATCCAGAGTTGTATGAGTTTATAAACTGTTTTCAATTACACAAGTGGGATGTGAATCTGCCCATTTTCAAAGTTCAGTCTAGAATAAGCTCTGGGGATTTGTTGTGAGACTAATTATAAGACAAGAATAAGGCTAATTGTAACAGGGTAAACTGACCTAGTAAGAGAAGCCAGATCCTTTAATCCCATAAACACACAGATCAGTTAATTGCTGAAGCAGTAATTCTCAAGCAGGAGCTGACAGAGTTACATGGCCTCAAACACTGCTCCAGCTCAGTAGGTGCCATCTCACAGAAGAGAGGTAGCTCACCCAGGGGCTTGGATTGTGAGGGTGGCTGCAGCCCCAGATGCCAGCTCAGGGGGAATCCAGTAAGCATCTGCATCTCTATGGCATTTGTTCCCCAGGCATCTGGGCAGGGGATAAAAGAAAGATGCTGGCCCTCACTGGGGGCAAATAAAGGAGGGTTTCCTGGTAATAAATATACTTACATACTGTGGGGAAGGAGCTGGGGATTGGGAACAGAAAGAAATAGGAAATCGAAGGATATATTTGTGGAGAAATACAGAGCTGAGTAATTGTGCCACTGTAAAAGGCAATGCTCTGCATCCTAGGAGTCTGGGCTTGAAGCAAAGTGTTCTCCCACCAACAACTTCAGCCTGCAGAAATGCATGACAAAATTGTTGGTGCTGTAACCCAGTAGGGGAAAAGATAGCAAGGGAAAATGCATATTGATTTTTTTTTTTTTTTTTTTTTTTTTCAAGGAATGTGAAAGACTGCTTTTAAAATTGATCTTGTTCTTGGACTGTTGCTTATGCCACAAGGCAATAGCTTCTCATTTGCCTGGAAGAAATAAAAATCATGAACTGGTTGGAATCACTTCTGATGTCAACACTACAGGCATGGCTACTGGGCAAATGAGCACAGCCTCCCCCCGAGCTTATACATCTCTTTTAACATTTCTGTCCTCTCTGTTTATTTTGAGCTTTATAATGTTCAGTTATAATGTGTTCTTTGTCCTTAGGTTTTGTGATATCACCACAACAGTAACAGAGCTGTTTTTTTTTCTGTGCTTTTTTTTTTTTTTTTTTTTTTTTCTCTGATTAAGAGCTGCAAAGTAAAAATTAAAAGGAAAGTCCTGTATTTCAGTCTTAATATTTTTCAAATGTGACTATTGTGTATAACTGAGTGTTTTGTTTTTTTTTTTTTCTTTTTTTGTGCAGGTGATTCAGAAGACCTTTAGTGCATATTTGTGCCTATTAAGTCTGGATTAAGTCTGGGCACTCCCACTCACAAGGCGTTATCCACCTCATTACACATGCATTATCAAAACAGGTTTTGGTAACAAGCAACATCACATGCCTTCCTTGATAAATGGTGTGGGTACCTTGGGAAAAGTTGTGTCAGATGTGGGAAATACATGACAGATGTCTGGGAGTTGCCCAGTGGGCAGCCTGGTGGCACTGATTAAAAACCCCATTGAATTGCATTAGCAAGCATGTTTGCTGCTGCCAAAAAAGAGATGAAATCTCTTTTGGGGAGTCAGACACTTAGGACAATACCCAGAGCAGCAGTGTTTATATGTGAGCTGGGCAGAAGAGCCATTACACTTCCAAAATGAAGGTATCCATGCAACTGCCATGGAAGCCAAGGTATGACCTTATAGGAACAGTGCCAAATGGTAATTTAAGCAGGTTTCCTCTGAGCACTTCAGAGAAAAATGATGGTGAGTGAAAGCAACCTGTGCAAATCACTCACCCAACCTGCAGCTACACCTGTACACTGCAGTGAAGGTATTTCTTTGTGTCAGTCCAACTGAGACATGAGTTGGGCTGTGGGAGTTGCATGAAGACTTCTGCAGGCAGCCCCATGAGAGGGGCAGCAGGACAAGGAGAGCACACTGAGCCTGCACCATGCAAAACCTTCTGGCTTTTATCACTGCCAGCCTTGCGTGATAAGGCATGATGACTAATGTAAGCTCAAATAAAATTAATGTTCTTGTCCATTTATGGCTATGTGCTAACCTCCCAGAGCTCAGTAGTGAGGGAACATCGGCCCTGTCTATTACAAGCTTGTGGTAAATTACTTTACAAACTCAGAGTTCAAAATAACACTCCCTTGTGTTGTCACTAATGCAGTTGCATGGTTAATTAATAGATCCTGAGAAAAAGGTTTAAATAGAAATACATTTTAATACATTTTGTTATCAATACTTCAAACTGCACAACTTTTAGAGCTCCACTGACAAGGATTACACCACAAATCTGTTAAAATCTGGGCAGGTTAGGACGAGTTCTCTCGATGCTTTGAATTTTCACTGTTTTGGTGTTTTTCCTGAGTTGTACAAAAGGAGGATTCTAAAACACTTCTGTAAATGCACCTGGGAGTTAGCTTAGTGTGAATTTTAATCTGATGTGGAAGACCTCAAGTTTCGCCATGTTTTTGTAAATCCTTTTGTCCTATTTTTTTTTTCTTTCATTACATAATTGTGAGTGACATGACTTTAATTTTTCTGTTGTTAAAGTGAATCTAAAGGGAGAGAGAAAGATATAGTTGAAAAACCTTGAAATATCCCCCAAAGCTTGGAAATTCTGACTAACATAATTATTCCAAGGTCAAATTCAGAAACCTGTCACTTGAATTGTATTCCTGCACCTGGGCATCTCCACATCTGATAGAGTTACACCATACCCTCTGTTCTCACTGCTCCTGTGTCTTGAAATATTTGATCTTCACAACTCATCCCTGTCTGCATAACAAGCTACCAAACTTTTGGGGGAGATTTCCCATTACATGGAAGCAAGGAGATCCTCTGCTTCGTGACACACCTCAAAGTTTTAGTGCTGCTTATGGCACCAGCAGCATCCAGACATGAGCTAGGTGGTTGCCAGTACCTGAAGAGACTTGATGTATTACAGCTGAAAAGCTGGGGGACAACTATTTTTAAAATGTCACTTTCAACACAAAGTAACAATGTGATTGGCTCTGCAGAAATTTCTATGTGAAGAACAGCAGGCAGGGAGGTCTGGGCTCTCTGCCCCTGGCCAGCTGCTGATGGACATGGCTCGCTGTCCTTCCTAGCTGACATGCAAGACTGAACTCAAAGGCCCCCCCGTTTCCCCACCAACTTCAGAAGGGGTTTTTCCCTTGTCTCCATTGCTCCCGACCCTGGTCTGTAAGTCCTTTACACCCATCCTAATACTAGCAGGTTTCCTAATTCAGCTCTGGGTATCCACATGTGTAAGCGATACACAAAATGAGGAGGGAAACTTTGTATTCACAACAAAATCCAGATCCTGTTGCAATGCTATGCTGGGTATCGCCCAGGAGATAATTCCTTGGCTGATTTGAATGCAAAAACACACTGAAGGCCCACAGTGTGTGTCAGTGTGCTTGTGCCTGGTCCATCCACCCTACAGAGCTGTACAGTCTTCATCTTTCTCCTTCAAGAAAGCTTACAAGCAGATCTGGCAAGAACATATCCAAAATGTAAGTCTGACATTGAGACTGGATTTTGGTTTGTGTTCAAAATGTAGGTATGACCTTAAAATGCATTTATTTTTAATGGATACAGCCCTGTAATTAATATAGGACAGAAACTTCAGCCTGTAAAACTTTGGTAAATGTGCCTGGCAGTCACTCCCCTGTGCCCACGCATGCAATCTGCAGAAGAAATTTCAGGATCCCCCGTTCCTCCTGCAGGTAGCACTTTAACTTCAGCACAGAATAAATGTAGCCAGGCACAAACTTCACGACACATGCTGTGTTCCAGAGAAGATGAACGTCTTCTTGCAGGACTTGTGTGGCCTCTCTGCATGCTGTACCACATTGCACTTTTTCAGTGATGTTGTTTTCCCTGTCTTAGCTTGTTTCAAAGATGTTCGGAGTGCTGAAGGACCCTCAGGGAAAAGGCAATTAGCTGAGACAGTCATTGGAGCCTGAATTAAAGAGCAAGTCTCTAAGGTACTCTACAGATGGAAAAATGTGTAATTTTCACAATATTTCAGTAAACCAAGTCTCTGCGTTATGTGTTTATGGACTGCAGAAGTCAGATATTTCTCATTTTTTTCAAGACCACACCTTGCAGTGATTGTAGGGACGATTTTTTTTTTCAGTCTAATATTTTGTTCAAACACTTTCTACTGCAAGTAAGCTACAAAATTTCAGAATTATATAACCATCAATTTTGATGTTTTAGAAAGGAAATAAACTTTAAGAAAGGTAGACTTGCTTAAATGTAGGAAATCTACAAGGTTCTAGGCACACATAAATCAATGTACAGCAGTTTTTCTATTTACAAGCCAACAGTGCCATCCTCTGACTTCTGTGTTTTCATGCAGATATCCTTCAAGATGTTCTAAAACTATATGTGATTCTAAAAGCATTTTTGTGGATGCCTGTATGTTGCTTAAGCAAACAGAATCCTTTTAAACAAGACAACACATTAAAAAGCAATAGTAATAAAATAGTCTATTTCATAGTCTGTTGGGGTTTTTCATGGATTTGATCCTTGCATATGTAGAGGGCTTCTCTGCTTTTAGAGGAAGCTGGCATCTGTGATAGCTGGGCACATACACACACACACTGAATGCAAAATGTTTTGATCCAGGACATAAACTCGTTTTCTACACTACAAATGGAAAGGTCATGCATTAGTGCTCACACAATTAATATTGTTTATTTACTTTTTCTAAAGGAAGCTGGGTGATGGGAGGAGTTATTTAATTAATACTTGTTATCTTTTAAGTTTTAATGTTTGTGATTTCAAATTGTGTTCTGTTGCTATAAGTGCTAGAAGCATGTTTATTTTTGTTTGGTTTGGCATTGCTTTTATTATGTGAAGGCACAGATTACCACATATGTACCTGAGATATGGATCTAAGGAAAGAGAAAACTTCTCATACAACAGTGAGAAGCCACACTAATTTTAAGAATGAAAGAAAGCTGCTCAAGCTACTTGTAGGGTTACTTTACACCTACAGTTAGATGGAGGCTAAACATTGTGCTATTTTTCTGCGGCGCAGGTAGGGCCTTAAGTGCATGTGTCTATTAACTGCAGGAACGGCTCCATTGACTTTTGCTGTGTTACTGCCAAAGGCCCTTATGTGCATGCTTATTGCTCTTAGAGGCTTATATTTGCCTGGGGCTGCAATGCAAACTACATCTTGTTCTTGTTTTCATATGACATTGTCATGGGAAGAGAGGAATTTTTCTCCAATTAATTACATTTGTAATAACTGCTGTTCTCAAGGATCCCTTCTTCATGGCCTGTTAGAAGTCTGGTAACTTTGTATGGTGTTCAGATGATGTTTTGTATGTCATAGCTATAAATCAGAGTATGTCATAGTAATCAATCAGAGACATCTACATTTGAAATAAAAGAGAGAATTTTGAAATATTCTATAAACAAATGAATGTTGGAATGGGGGGGGGGAAAGGGTTGGGTAGAAAAAACAAACAAAACGCTTCTCTAATAAATAACATATTAGAGAAGTAGTTGGTTTTGCTTCCGTTTTTCTTTTCTTTTCTTTTCTTTTCTTTTCTTTTCTTTTCTTTTCTTTTCTTTTCTTTTCTTTTCTTTCTTTTCTTTCTTTTCTTTCTTTCTTTCTTTTCTTTTTTTTTTTTTTTTTTTTTTTTTTTTTTTTTTTTTTTTTTTCCCTGCAAAATCTCGCAGCAACAAGTAGGTGGCACTGCGGGATCATCCGAGAGACGAAGCAGATAGGGATTTGTGCTCACTCGCACCGCCGCTGCAGGAGGAGCAAGAGCTGTCTGGTACTGGCGGCAGAGGCAGGCTGGCTATAAATAATGTTGCGAGGTAGTACAAAAACTCATCAAAATAGTTGGTATTTCAATTTTTTCAAAATCCAGGGTACATTAACAGATTAAGTACGCTTCCCTGTTTAAATTTATATTTAGTTTTCTACTATGAACTACATTTAATATATAGCCAGCTGAGTATCTGTACCTGTCTACCTCATGTAGCCTACCCAGCTAAAATACAAGTGTAAGTGATCTTAAATAGTATTTATTCCTAAATTCTGCTTTTTGAGCAAGCAAAACACAGAAAGTAACTCTTCAGTGAGAGAGGCCTTGATTGTGATTCTTGGATCATGGTTCTTGATGTGCAACTGATTATTAATGTAATAAGGGAAAAGGAGACCTACATGTATAACAAAGCTGCACATATGGTGGTTCATCCAGGGTTTTCTACAAAGGCAGAACAGGAGGGGTCAGCATCATCACAGTTTTTTCCACCCTTAGTAAAAGTGTGCATCCTATTACATCCTCCTACACTACACAGGAAACTCCAGGCTCCCATGCAGGAAATATTTAAAGCATGCATCTGGGCAGGGCAATGTCTGAATCCCTGCTGCACAATGTGTTTCCTGGTCCAAAGCCTGTAACACTGTTTGCACAAACACCCCTGGAAGTGTAGCCAGGAGGGTGAGCGTGGCCAGAGCCAGCGGTTGCTGTGTGTGCTGGCTTCTCTCCTGTGTGTCTGTCTGGCCTGCATCCCCGCTCACTGGTGCTAGAGACTGGGAGTTGGGCTTTCACCAGGTTTCCAGCATCTTTATCCGCCTTCTGCTGTGCAGAGGTGGGCAGCAAGAGCACCCCTCACCTGCTTCTGCAAAAGGGCAAGCGCTCCTTAGAAAGCTGCCCTCTGGGTAGAGGATGTGATGCTCTGAATCCTAACTACACCTATCTCAGAAACTGTCTGGGTACTCTTTCAGGCTGGGGGGTTCTTCTTGTTGCATGGAGATGGGTTTTGTTCTGTGTTGAAGAACAAGGAGTTACCATAAGCCTTTATCTCTCCATGGGCTCTGAAAATACACTGGACTCCCTGAAGCATGCTGCTGGGACTGGCTCACTAGGTCTTTGCAGAATTATGTGGCCTGCTGACCTCAAGGAAGATCCTCCCTCTCCCCTCCCCCCCAATGCAATACTTTCAAAAATATTTATTTTAATACATATCTGTCCTTCAGGTTCTGCTTATATAAAAACTAATAAATTCTAACCTATTCGATCCATTTCTTTCTTCCCTGGCAGTAAAGGATCATCATTTCTTTCACAATCTTCTTCCCCTGTCAAACCCAAATTACAGATGAAAACACTAATTTCTCAGCAGTCGCACCATCACATCTTGTCTGGTTGTTTGTTCATGTCCAGGTATGATTTTTTCTTATCCTTTTAACAGGGAAAATCAAATAAATAAATATAAAAGTTTTAAAAGTAAGAGCAAGAGCCAAGAAGTGAAAGAACATATAACTGGGGATTGGGGAAATAGAATAGTTCCAAGGTGTACAAAAAGAGAAATCAAAAAAGGAGACTAGGAAGGGAAAACCTGGGAACAAGAAGAGACATATGGTGATTTTAAAAGCTGTAGCACTGACATCTTGTGTGGGTTTAGTGTTACACTGTGAGGTTTGCCTTAATGCTCTACTTTCTGGAGCTGGAGTGTTATATGGATGGTTATATGAAGTTTCATATTTGCATGGTTTAGGAGAGAAAAAACTTGGTTCAAAATCTGGTATGTATTAATACAGTATATCAGATATGGTATTTTTGAATAATAAAAAACAAATGATCTCCCATAAATTATAGTAACCATTCTAAAGAAACTGCCAAATTATACATTTATTTAGATGCAGAAGAAAAGAATATGACACTGAACAGTAAATCAGGCCTGTATACACTGTGTGATTGTTCGTAAGCACCATTCTGGTGACACCACTGGAAGTACTAATGGAGAGATTGATTCCCAATTTCAGCATTAGATTTTTAATTTTGTATGTAAGCCTAGCTCTACCTAATTGGTTTGCTCTATCCGTAAACATTATTGAAAACCCATGCCTGGGGACTATTTATTTTCCTGAGATGCTGTTTTGCTAATCAAACTCTGCAGAAAAGCCTAATAAGTATGTGTGAAAATAAAACAAAACAAAGTATTTATTTTATGAACAAAACCACACAAACCTTCACAAAGTCTTCCACAATTTAATTATGACTGCCTCTTTATAAAAGTGTATCTGAAAGAGTCATGACAGAAGTACCTAACCCAGAGCTTTTTTCTGCTCAACCAACCATCTGCATGCTTGCTGTTGTACATATGTTTAAACAGTATTTGATTAAAAGATAAGCCTAGGAGCTGACGTACAGTCTCATGCTGGGGCCATCACCTTTATTTTTATGGATGACTTGAAAAGCTTGTAATTATCTCTGTTCACTGATAGGAAAACAGAATTCATGCACTGGGGAAAAGCCTGCCACGTGTGTGTTCATGATATTGCTCTTCGGGACAAAACACTGAAATGATCAGATTTGTGGTAGAGTACAATGTTTGAAAAGATGAATTGAGGAATAACTGGGCATTTTGTGGTGTTGCAGTTGTTTGAAATAAAGTATTAGTCAGTGCCTAAATAGAAAGGTTTACTCTCAATTAACACTCTAATTAGCATGCAGTGTCACAGGTGCCTGCTGCTTTCATGACATGGCCTGCACCCAGCTCCTCCTGATGCTGCCGCCCCTGCCCAGGGCACAGCAAGCAGCAGTTGTGAATCTGTACCCTATGAGCTGCTGTTGGCCTGTGGAGCCAGGCCAGCATGAGGTATGGTGATCTGAAAACCTTCATGTACTTGGAAAACTTATGTTATTTGCCAGTGTTAACACAGGAAGACTTAGGATTGTACAGCTCTCAGGCTAGCTGCCTCACCAGCCAGCAGTGCGCAGCTGTGGCCCACAGAGCTGTGTTACATCTGCTCTGCCTAAATACTGCTCCAGAAGTGGGTGCCAGTCCTCGTGGCTTTATGTGCCACCATGCTGCAGAAACCTGCTGTTAGCAAGGCAAGAAACTTGCTGCCTGGCCAGCATAGCTGCCAGTCTCACAGGAAGGCTTTGGTAGCCTGAAAGTAAGTGTGATGGCTCCCTCCACAGCCCCTCGCATCAATGGTGGCCGGGCCTCTCCTTGGCCAAGATGGGCCCTGAGCCCCCACAGCCACATCTGGGCCAGGCCAGGAGAGAAGACTACCAATGCCCAAGGGGGCATCTGCTCACTTAAGGTTGCAAGGAGGGATTAACCCGGTGTTTGAGCACTGTGGCAACTGTTGTATTCTCCTAGTAAGCCACTGGCCATGAGAACATAGGCTTATCGTGGAGCTGAGCCTTATAGCAGCCTGGAGAGAAGAAGCTGTGCCTGCCCTTGGGCAGCGGGCCTCGCAGGACTGCCACAGTGCTCCTGTCCATTGTGGCAGAGGAGGGGTAGGACTGGCTTGCAGCCCTTGGAGGAGACAGATACCTGGGCAGAGCATCTTAAATCTGAAACTTTTTCTTCTGAGTTCTTCATGCTGAAATCCATAGGGATCCATACGTGTGTCCCTCTGTATTTGGAATTGCACTTTTTAAAGGAAAATCTAAATAGTATAACTTCTTATTTCTCTGATATTCACCAGTCAGTTCCTAATCCTTATCTGCTTGACAGTGTTGTCTGGTACCCACAAAGCTCTGGAAAGAAAAAGAAAAATCTTCCTTTTTCCCCTTGTAAAGAAGTATTATACAAATGCTTCTTGGCAGCTGATGATAAGAGCACAGCCTGTAATACATTTCTCCAATTAATTTCAGGCAAAAAGCCAGATGTTACTGCTATTCAGTTTGCCAAGCCTATAGGAGTGCTTAGACTTTTTTTTTTTTTTTTTTTTTTTTTTTTAAACCACTACAGGGGTGGAGGGAGTCAGCATTAAACCAAGTCTTGCAAAGCATTTGATCAGGTACAAGGTAAAATTGAAACAACAGCCTCCTCACCAATTCTTCTGAAGGTAAGTCTTCTGCCATTTTAGTAAATTCCTCAGATTTGTAATGGGCTAGCATGTAGTCTTAAGAAATGTATCTTTACATTTTCATTTAAATCTGAAGTGTTCAATTTATTTGTTTGTTTATTTTATGAGCTACTCTAACTTGTAACAGGGATAATGCTGGCTAAAACTTATATTTATGCCGCAAAGAGCTCTCCCAAGAAGCATTCTGCAAACAGAAGCAGTTGTTCTTTTAACCATGTTTATACAGCTAGTGTTTTCCGTCTTCAGGGCAGGAACCTTTAAACTGGAAGCAAAATATAACTTGCTTTATTTTAAACTGAAATACATGGAGACTATTGAGTTCAGGAATAGGAACGTTTATGGAAACAGTTCATTTGTGTGTATATCAAATCATTATATCATAAGTTGCTGAGGAGGGAGGAAGATGTTCTTAAAAACAAACTTTGGTGGGTTGTCTTTTGTTTGTTTGTTTGCTTTCTCTTAATAAGAAACTGAATACTGACTGAATAAAAACACCTGAATAGACAAGGATTGGCATGCAAGCATACAAACTGTACATCAAAACAACATTCATTTATAGGTAGTAAACTTTGAGGGTGGCTGGTTGGTTTGAAAGTTAATGTAAGGAAAGCTGCAATGGTACCCATAGCTCCAGATAGGCAGGATATGATTTGGTAACAAAACGTTTACAACTATATCTCTGTGGCCACCTGCCTGGGGAGTCTTATTTCCCTCTCTTACAAAGGAACAATTAGAAGGAGATAATTGTACCTCCAGGAGATAATTTTACCTACTGTTGTTTACTTGTCCTTAAGCAGAAATACAATTCTGTGCAACTTGTGCTGCTGAGCAGTTAGGGCTTTTGGCTTTCCTGAAATATGAAGTACAGCCTGAGGATCAGCTGGGGACCCCAAAACAAAGATATAGTTGTGGCACAAGTAGCAGATTTCTTCTCAGGACAGTGGTCATCAGTGACTTGGGCACAGAACACGGGCTGGAGGCAGTTCTATTTCCATAATGGCTGGGCAGATTCTGGCCAGGTCCTCCTTTTACCCACACACCTGCCTTTGTAAACGGGACACAAGTGACATCCACGAGATTTCTGCTATTGTTGCTGGGCCCATCCCAACTCATACATTTGCTGAGTATGCAAAGTACTGCTTACAAGTTCAGCTATGTGAATCACCAAGGATCTGCTCAGAAATTATGACATGCTCAAATCCATTTTCAACTTAAACTGTGAAAGTTTCCTAATCCTTGCAATTGTTAGGAGACCTGTGAGTTGTTTTCTGCAAAGTCTGCAACATTGTTTTCTCAATGATGGTTGTATCTTTCATCTTCTCTTTATCTTCTCACTATCTTTCATTACACAAACTACTTTAGAGGCTGCATGAGGGACCCAGTAGGGAGATTATTGAGGGCTGGAGTCTGTTCACTGAGCTGCTCTTCACTTCTGAGATATTTAGTTATGTACCTCAAAAACTGGCATTATGATTCTCCTCAGGCCTATATATGTAGAAAACCCATGGGAAGTGCTGCATGCTGCTTTTTCCTGCAGCTGACAGCAGTTAGAGAAGCAGTGAAGCTGCTGTTTCAGGCTAATACCAAGGACAAGATTTGCATGCTTTCTCAGTAGTATAGAGTTACGGTAGACATAATTCTTACTATTTCTGTTTGTTCCTGCTATTTTTTTTTTTTTTAATTTTATCTTTTGAGTAACCACATACCCTTTCAATAATGGTCCTGTCTGTCCCAAAACCTGTAGAATTCTGGGAATTCAGCTTCATCCTTTAATACAGAGTATGATGTAGAGGCCAAGTTGATACTCTAATTGCTTTATGACTCTTTCTGTCTCCGTACAGTGTGTGCTATCTCTGTACAGGATATCATAAAATTTAATAACATCCATTCAGTGTTCTGAGGATGCTTTATGTCATATGAAAAAACCTGACTTGTACAAAATATCTATCTTAACTTACTCTATGCAGCATTCTGCAGGACCCCTGATGAAGAAGTATGTTCAGCAATATTTCAGAAAGTGAGTTTGAAATAACAATCTGAAGGTAAAATAAAGGCTAAAAACTGAAGAAAAAAAAATATGTCATTTATTTTCCCATGGGTTTCTGTGCCAGATAGATTAACTCATCTTACAAAATGCGCGCGCACACACACACACACATATACACACACACAAAGAATGTTATGAGATTTTCTTTTTTCTCTCCCTTTCTGCATAAGTGGTAAGATACACTTCTGAGCACCAATAATGGTGCAGACCTTCTTGTTGCTCCATAATTTGGCTGTTGTCCATTTACTTTGAATGCCTCCACTGAATTATGATCAACATATACAAAAATTAAACATTTTAAACTATGCAAGAAGTTCAGTGTCTGAATCATCACAAATACTGGCACATCTGGCACATAACACATCTAGAAGAAGTGAGAAATCAGATCAAATACTGCATCACGGGATTTGAAAGCAGGGAACAGCTTGCTATATGCTGAACTTTCAAAGAAACTAAATTGTATGACTGTATTTCCTTATATTCAATCTGTTCTGTTTGCTGCTTTGTAATCCTGAATCAGTGATGTGCTACAAGTTATGGTTCTTATATCTCATGTTGTGTGGTTTTCTGTCCTCAAATCCCTTTTTGGCAATAGGAGTAGGATTAGCACTTGGCTGGCAGTTAACATTTCCTTCAAATTCAAATTAACTTTTCATTTTCACTACAAGTAATTAGCTGTAACAATCACCTTGTCTGAGATTTTCTTAAAGAAAGCAAAGTTCTGACTCCTTAACATCAAGAAACTCAGCAAGGTTCTTCTTCACAAAAGCTGTTGTACTTCATGATTTGCTTCCTAAGAAATAAAATTTCTAGCTTGCCTTCAACAGTTAGTGGGGGAAAAAGGCAAAAGGCCTTATTCTCATCTCATCTCTTTGAAATGAGATTCTACTTTGTAGGGGGGAATGGGGTGTGTATCTTACTTCTGTTCCCTACCATGACTTTTGGCAGAGCAAAATGTCCTCTGGCTTCAGATGTTGATCGTTACCACTTCCTAGACAGTGCTACTAAATGTCATGACTTCACTACATTTTTTTTTTCTCTGACAGGTAGAGACAACAAATTAAAATCCACTTTCCTCTCTTGACTTACTAGAATTTGCAGAGACACTTTTGTAGCAAAACACCTCAGTAAGGGAGGCTTTCTTTGCAGGGTATCAATTTTGATCAACCATGTTTTAACATTAATACAGAATGATTTGATAATTGGAGGAATACTGGTTCAGGAGCACTTACTCTGACTTGCAGCTGCAGTTAAATAAGCTCCTGTACTGCCAACAGCACAAATTCTAGTCACGTGTGTGCCTCAGTAAATGATTGGTAAATAGACCTCATTTGAGCACTGAAACCTGCACCATAAGTTCAGGGGAACCATTGCCGTCTGGTAGCTGCAGTGGAGAAAGATCTGTAGGCTGGTGAGCTGGAGTACGTTTAATCTCTAAGTTACTGGTATGACTGTTCTGCAGCCAAAATGAAGTCAAATGGAAATTTCTCCCTTCAGTGCTTTAAAGCTTTCTTGCAGGTTCTTTTATTATTATTATTTATTTTAAATAATGTTTCTGGCTTTAATATACTGCAGCTTCTTATCTTGTTTGTTTGCACTGTCTTCCTTCTTCTAAATACTATTGTATCATTTATTATTTGATAAAATGATATCATGAAATAATCTCAAATGGTGTCTTCATGATAATCCTGAAGATCTGAATTAACACTGTTAATTAACACTGTTAATTCAGATCTTCAGCTTGTTTTCTTGAGGTCATTGTCAGCCTATCTAAACTTTTGAATTTACTGAGATTTCTTCTTCCATGAAAAAAATTCATAATCTTTTTTTGTAAATAGTATATGGTATGTTTGTGTATTTTTCTAATTTACCTGAATAAATCACCCTCTTCTTCTGGACTGTGGAGTTTTTAGAGGGTTATAATGCTCCTGAATTAGCTACTGTCTAATTCAGTAGCTTAAAGATGATGAAGTCAACATGGTGGAGGATAAAATGATGAGCTACCTTATGTGTGTTCCTTTAAGAGTAGTTTGGAGAAGAAATCTCATGAAAGATGACTAGGATATTCCTATGGCTGAGTTTGAAGGCTGCTGGAATTCTTCCTTATGGATTTAAGGAATTTCACAGCTGTTGCCTGAAATTATTTTATACATTTTATTCTATGTATTATATATATTTAGAGGAACTCTACATTGTTTAACTGTATTCTAGACTGAAAAATATGACAACAAAACAGTAGTATCTTCTCATACTTTCAAACCACATGAAGCTCACTTCCTCATTCTATGTAGGTTTTGGGATGTGTATACAGACTTATGGTGGGTTTAATTTTGCCCAAACATTACACATCTTTCAGGAGAATGTTCTGAGGAAATCATGAAATTACAACTCTCTGAAGCATCAGACAGACCTACCAGTGTGGATGCTATGCCACGTGGACAGGAGCTCTTACTGAAACTCTTCTGCATATCCTTGCACCTGTGCAAAACATGAGCACTGTAGCTTTGTAGCTCATGTTCATTCACTCTTAATGTTATTGTGTCTGAAACAAATAAAAAGCGAAGTTTCATGACATAGATTCACCTTTTGAGGAATTTGATCACTAAATTAGATTGTTATTAGTTTCTGAATGACAACAACAAAATTCAGCTAGGAGTATCCCTTAGTAAATGGCTTTGCTTCTTTCCTGTGACTGTCCACACATACAAAACCAATCTATTTCTGACAAATGTTGAATGGATTTAATGTGCAAATATGATAGGTGCAATCTGCCCCAAATTTGGATGCCTGACATTCACAAAATGTAAACAGACTTCACTTGCAAAGCATGCATTAGACAGCAGATGTTTACTAGCTGTGTTAGAATGACTGCTTTGCACCATGCACACCTATCAATTTTTGTCATTTCCAGTGTATTGCACGCAAACTTGGCTTGCTATCATTTGGTCATCTCTTCAGCTGAAGGTGCAAATGCTGTAGGAATCATGCTAATGAGGAAAGAGTAAAGAACTATGGCTTCCTTTTATTGTCTGCTTCCCCTTGGGAGAAAAACAAACAAAAAACTACAATATGCGTCTCCTAGAATAGTGCAAAGGTTATAAAAATATATTGTTCCTGTATTGCTCTAATTCACCTAAGTGTAACTGCATTTGAGTTATTTCTTTTCCTCTCACTGGTCTCAAGAGGTAGGTGATTTAGACAAATCTGAACACTATTGGTAGGCTTCACAAGGTCTTGTGTGTTTGTTGTTCATTTTACAAGCATGTAGAAAGAAATCAAGTCAGGTGGGAGGAAGGGTTAAAATAACCCATGTGACTTCAGTCTAGAGAAGTATTAGAATCTGTCAGATGCTTGGAGCCCATTACTTCTTATCCTGTAATACAATGATTCGAGGGCATAGCTATTCTGCTTGAGGTCACCTTCTGAAAAGGAGATGTCTGAGAACGATATGAGAAATTGGGGGGGGGGAGGGGAAGAGAGAGAGCTAAACTCTGTGTCTCTATTACCTGTGAAATGTAAGCCACAAATGTTGTCTTTTACCTGATGGAGACCTCCTTCAAAATCTAAGACAATAATCCAGGGTAATCCAGGGTTAGAATTCAACCAATTTAATTTGTCAAATTCTAACATCCATTTAACATCAAAAAGTCAGATTCCTCCATGATTTGCACACAAGTCCTACTTCAGTGAACTTGCAAAAACATGAAAGTCAGGACAGAACTGTATTTGGTTTGCTCCTTAATGTACTATACAGCTATGTATCATGTTACCATCAACACTTGCATTATGCTACTGTTCTCACAGATAACATGCATACCATATTTTCAGTAACTTTTGTGATAAGCTTTTTAAGCACGGAAATTTCTCAAGGCTTGATTTTATTTTTTTTTTTTTAATAACATTCCTGCAAATGTCAGTGGCTGTTAACATCTGAATCAAGCTGTTCCCAGTTCATGTGACTGGAAATGGTGCCCAGAGCAAAAAAGCCAGACACTGACTCTCATATAAGTGTAGTCTGTTTGGAAAAGTTACTACTGAACACAAGTAGAAGTCACTGAATCCACATCAGAATACCTTTTGGCAGGAAATAAGGTAAGGTTGCATTATGACCTTTTATTATTATTTTCACTAGAGGTACATTTTAGAAATGGTCTAACAGAAAAAAACATGATGAGCTGCTAAATCAGAGTTCTGGCTGGACACAAGGCTATCTGGCTCACACACTACTGGCAGTATCCGAAACTCTTCTGGGATTATATTGGAATTGTCTCATAGGAAAGAAGGCAGAATTGGGGGTTTTAGCTTGTAGCCACCCCAGGGAGTAGTTCTGAATGGACTTATGTTCTAAAGAGGTTTTTCACTCTCAAAGGAGAAGGAATGCCATGCGGTAACCAGCTGTGTGTAAGAGCAAAGGGCATTTATAGCAATGAAGAATGAAAGAGAGGAATTGAACTCTGTGCACATGTGAATTAGACTGATTTGGTGTCTTCTAAGGGTGGCATCAAAGACTGAAAATGTACCAGTCAGATATGGCTGGACTAGGAGCAGCTGCAGACATACGTATGCGTTTTACCTCCAAGAGTGTTAGTGTAGTTAAATATATTTCATACATAACACATTGACATATGCACATACTTTCAGAAAAATTGAAAGGTCTAAAAACAGCAGCAAATATGTAACTGAGTAGGAGCTCATGAAGCTCCTAGTCCAGAGCAGAAAAGCTTTTTTTTGTTGTAAAAAAGTTGATCATGCTTACAGGCTCATATGGGTAATCTAAGCTTCATCTGTCATTTAGGAATAAATCTTTTTCTAAACTAAACCCTGGAGAGCCTGTGCCAGGTAGTTAGGGTGCATATGGTGTTAAGATGCTCCTTTACTGAAGAAGCAGTGCTAGGAACAGTAGCTCCCCCGCCCTAACCTCCAGCTACCTTCCCTTGTTCAGCGAAGTCACCCAATGCTGTTTGCATGCTATGGGCTATGTGGAAACAAACGTGGCTGCTTAGCTGTCTCTCTCTCCACAGAGCCCTAATGCTATGGGGAAATCTGTCAAATCTGTCAAAGCAGTGGCTACAGAATACGACAACTGCAGTCCTTTGCACTCTCTCTTTTCTTCCCTACCTTGCTTGCTGTGTGTGCTTATGTAGGAGAGAAGAACAGCACGGAAAAGTAGCTATGCTGTACCTCCACTGCAGTCACAGGAGGTTTGCTGCTTTATTAGCACATCTGTGTTCTTAATGAAGTACAGGGCAGGGGCATCAGGCTGACCATGTAGCCATACTTGACTTATATTCATACAACCCAGGCTACCTGCTTGAATGGATGTGTTTTTTTGTCGTTGTCACTCTTTTTTTTTCCCTTTCTTTCATCACAAAAGGTTTTTTTTTTTTTTTTTTTTTTTTTTTTTAATTTTCTTTCCTGCATGCTTTTAGTGGGAGTGCTGATAGAAAAATACACACTCAATTCATATGACAAAGGATGCTTATATCATGTTTCCAAAATAGGCTTGGTATAGTGTCAAGCAATTCATACTCACCCTAGCTATGCTGGATGTGGATTTTGATTTAAACACAAGTCCTCCAAGAAAAACATGATGAGTGTGTTAAATAAATAAATAACAGATAACGAGGTGTTACAGCAGTTCTTGTTCAATCTTCCAAGATCTACAACTGATCTCCCTCAGATGGTTTCTTATCATTTCTAACTGATACAGATGTATGAGTTGTCTACAGATGTCAGTGGGGGTGAGCTTAGAAAGTCAAGAAGCTATACCCTTAGCATTTAAAAATAACCAGCCAAGTAGGTGGCTTAGTACATCAGACCCATTTTATCTGGTTTGAGATGATAAATGAGGTAACAATATAAACCCAGTTTCTGTGGATACTTCAAGCAGCAGAAACAGTATGAAGTATGTACAAAAGCCACAAACTGTTAAGATAGATAATACCACATAGTCAGGTTACATGTGTGCTTGTAGAAACCACCACTTGTGCTCAAGAATACAGAATTTAGGAGTATCTTCTGTTCAAGGTTTTACTTAAAACTTTTTTTTTTTTTTTTTAAAGAAGAAAGTGAAGTTCAAAGCACTTTCATGTAGCCATTAGAAAAATGCTTCTATAAAACAGAAATTGAGATGTGCTAGGCAAAAAAATACATTTAAATAGTGAGATAACATCTTAGATGGCTCTGAAATAGTCTTTTAATCAATTCCAGTTATTGAAGTTGTATGTATCTCAGTCTTAGCCATCAAATGACAACTCAACAATACCCTTAAATTCAGCAGTTTTCAAAGTACCTCCTACTGAACTGAGACCCCCACCAATGATTTTTGCAGACTTTGCATATATACACCCCTCTGACCTGGATCAAACATTTTTGCATTTTGAAGCATAGTAAGAATAGAATTTTTTGTTCTCTCTAAAGTCAACAAATGTTTATATGCTCAAAAATTTTAATTCTTACTGAGATTCTCTGTGATGATGACTTCACATCTGAACATAACATAGCACAGTTTCATTGTGTTGAATCAGTTTCTCTGATTCACATTAATTATTTCATTCTGAACTGGGTATTTCTCTGTTTCATGCAACAGCCTGGGCTGCTTCTATCTTTTCCATTGTAGCTTTATTTCTTCAATGTCCTACTCTGTTGTACAGCAGTTTTACATGCAGGCTAGTATTTAATGGGAAGTTTAAAATGATGTTCTCTAAAGCTGCCTTTACACAAACCCATTATAAATATTTCAAGGCACTCTTTCCTTTGCACTTATTTTCATAATAGAAGAGAGTGTGAAATGAAACAACCAACGAGTATGAATAGCTCACAGCATATGCTATAATTAAAGGAATTTTAAAGTAACTTGACATTCTATCTCTTTGAAATATAAGATATGTTACATGTTAATATTTGCATTAAGAATTTTCTAGGTCAGGAACAAGATACTTCTGCCTTTTCTCTGTATGCCTCCCTTTGAAATCAGCAGGCACGGTCTTTTAATTTCAAGCTATACCAACTAGGGTATCAAGGGTTCTAGGATATAGCTGGAGCAGACCCTCACTGAAGAAACAAGGTAGCTGTGCCAAGATACATGTATATTTATATACAAAAAAGGCTTGTCTGTGGGTTTTGCCTTAAGACTTCTCTGAAATCTTCCATGCATTTCAGGCTTTAGTTGGCAACAAAATCGGCATCATTAATAAATGATTTGGGCTTATGTCAATTTAAGGAACTGTAAGTGCTGATGACTATAGAAGTTGAATTAAAAATATATGTTGAAATATATCTACATGGAAAGCTCAATCATTCATCTTCTATTTATTATAGAAATCCTGAATACTTCTAAACATATCACAGAATTTCTAGGTTGGAAGAGACCTCAAGATCATCGAGTCCAACCTCTGAATATGTTTACTTAAAGCTATTTCTAGTTCCTGCTTGTGTTGCCAACCTTGAGAACTACGGTTGAGAGCAATGCCATCCCATTTCCTCTATACGACACAGCTGAACTCAGAGGGGGAAATGCTAGGCTGCCAATAATGCAAGTTTCACACAAATGTTGGGCTGCTTTAAACCCTATTGTGGTATT